GTGCTAGCCGAGCCGTTCGCAGGACCGAGTAATTGTGTGTCGTGTCACTCGAGGACTGCACGCAGGTCCTCGCTGCATCACGAAAAGCGGGGTCTCGCCAGGGTTAGACTGCTGCCAAGTCAGAGCCTCGGTGACCATTCCTTCCTCCGCCCCGGCCTGTGCCCAGCGCTGCCGCCGAGGCCGGCTGGCGTGGCCGTACGGGCCTGGGGCACCACGACGGAAGACCCCACGTTAGCACGTCCCCGAGGTGAAAACCAGCCTGAATCAGGGAGGAAGGAGGTCAGCGTCTGGTGCAGCCTCGTGGGGGCGTGTCTGCATCAGCAAAGAGCAAGCTGATTCTCATCACTTCATGGTTTCTAACAAAGTGCCACAAGCTAGGTGGGGGCCTAAACAGCAGAAATGTATGTTCTCTCAGTCTCGGAGGCTAGAACCCCGAGATCAAGGCACCACCTGGGCGGGCTCCTCTGTGTCCTCCCGGGGCCACCTCTGCCTGCGGGGAGAGGAGCAGCTGCAGTGCCGCCCCCCCTTAGGAGGGCGCCTGTCACGCTGGGTGGGGCCCCACCCGCTTGACCTCGTTGAACCTTAATTGCCTCCCTAAAGGTCCTGCCTCCGAATACAGTCACTGGGGGTTATGGCTTCAACCTGAGGGCTTGCAGGGGACACAGTTCGTCCACAACGACGGTCCAAGTGTAAGAGGCTGTCTTAACCTTCGGCCAAAGATTTCATGGAGAGTCCGGAAGGCAGTGCTGGAAGCCGGGGGTTAGGAGACAAGGTGAGGATTTCTGAGACTTTTCCTGGGTCCTAGACATTTGAGCACCTGAAGGTATGACTGGACACCAGAAAACTGCACACGGGCACAGGATTTTGTGTCTGACCCCAAGAGGCCCAGCTCACCGGACCAGCTACGCCCTCCGTGACGGTAGGCTGGGCCCCCCAAGACACTCCTGCCGCTGATGAGATGGCACTTGGACAGATCCAGGCACAGGCTTTATTGGGACCGAAGGGGTGACCCTACTGCAACCGCTAAAAACATTGACCCTCCGGGAAAGGGGAGGGTCTAATCTGGACGTGCTGGTGGTGGTTGGAACTTCGGCAAGGACCAGTTGAGGTGCACTAAGGCTGGGGCCCGGCGGACAGACGTCTCCCATTTCTGCGACGTCCTCAGTGGACTGGGAGGCCGAGACTTCATGTCCCCGGTGGTGCCCAGCGGCCTGGGTTCATTCACACCAGCCCCTCTCCCCGCGCCACAGGCCGCTCTGGTGCTCACTGTAGAAATACGACCTGAGTGACAAAGGGAAAAGGCAACGTGGAAACGGGTGCTCTCACAGTTGGGGAGCGGCCAAGATCCAGTAGGGCATGGGGTCTAATTTTCTTGGCTTTCACGTCAGCTGGGTTTGAGCGCCAGGAAACTTCCTCAGAACTGGTGGCGTCAGCCACCACCGTCTTCCAGTCGAGTCTGAGTGAGAGCCCATCACCTAGCTGTTGCGGCAGACACCCTGAAGTGGTGGTGCCTGTTTTCCCAGACTTTTCAACAGGGCCAGCGTTGCCATGCAGCTGAGCCGTGGAAAGTAAATCTGAGTTTTCGGGTTCCCCAGCCTACGGCAGCCATTCACAAAATCAGCCTCAGCATTTGAAAGTTGAGCAGAATTAATCAGATACTTCTGTGACTCAAACTGGAGTTTAAGAAGTGTCTTTAACAAGTTACTGAAACCATTAATTTTCTCATGGGCTGGGGTGGGAGCGTGAGCTCGCTGCCGAAGTGCTGAGGGGGCCAAGCAAACTTCGCTAATCGGACGCGCCCTCCAGTGCCCTGTCGGCCTCTGGTTACCTGGTTCTGTAAGGTTCCTCCTCCTTGCTGAGCCTTGCCCTTAAGGCTTGGCAAACCTTTAGCTCAAAAAATTTACATTGGCCCCCTCTCTCCGCCTCCCCCCCAGATCTTTCTCTCTGTGCAATTCATCCTTTCCTCCGGCTGCCAGGCTTCGCGGGCCGGATCAGGCCAGCTTGCCATGGTCTCGGCCAAACCACAGATGTAATGAAGCAGACGCTGTGCTCTGGAAGCGCTGCGGCCACGTGGGGTGGGAGCGGGGTGGTTGCTGCCTTTGAGACCTTCGCCACACTCTCCAGGAGCATGTTGGTTTCTCTCCGCGGCCTTGATGCCTTCAAAACTGAGCGTCACAAAATCGCAGTTTCACTCTGACTCTTCCATGATCTATGTTTTTTCTTTTCTTTTTTCAAAATTTTAAGCCACTCATCCTTTTTAACCTCTCGAGTGCTCTCTGAGGAGTGTGGCTAATAATCCAGCGGATGTGCCCAGCAGTTCTGCCACATTTGGTGACATCAGGAGGAGGAGCAAGATTTAGCTGCAAACCACAGCTGCTTGAGCTCGTGGACCACTACCCACTGGAGCAGTGAGAGACGCGAGCGCTTCAAAGCAGCGTCAGTTTCACGGGCCAGAAGCTCCCTCTGGGGACAGAGCTCTCCAACAGAGACGCGGCACAAGTCACACACACCCTTTTAAGGTTCCGAGTAGACACTTTTTTAAGAAGCAAAGCAGGTGAAGTTAATTGTAACATATTTTATTTAATGCAATGCATCTAAAATGTTGTCACTTAAATATGTAAAGTAAAATTGATAATAAGATGGGTTACATATTTTTCATGCTAAATCTTTGAAACCTTACCATACATCTCAGTTTGGACCAGCCACGTGTCCAGTGCTTGGTCTGTGTGTGTAAGTGGCCGGTGGCTCCATGTTACACAGATCTGGGCGATTACCACCTTGTAAGGAAGGGGAGCAAGGGTCTCACCTGCTGCAGGGACCGGAGAGGGAGCATCACGGACAGTTCTGTTAGGACCCGACGTCGCTGTGGCTGTGGGTGACCTCTGGCTGTCGTTGGAGCCGTTCACCTCGGAACGGGCCTGAAGAAAGTGTGAAAGACAAGGAGGGTGGGGTCTCTTGGGAACTTTGGATCGAGAAGAGTCCAAGGCGTGTCCCCTTGTTCACCTGGACAAGACGAGGCCTAGATCAGGACAGGTCATCACCCCTGCTGTTTGACTCAGGTTCCAGAACTCAGTGTCTTCCCATTGTCAGGAGTTTGGAATCCACGAGCACGCTTCTGTAGCAGAAGCACAGGCCACGCACGAAAGGAGACATCCTGGACTTGACCCCCGGGGAGTCCACGTGGTGAACTGTTTTCTCCCTACAGACTCGGCGGTTTCGCGTGGTTTGACCTCTTCTGTTCCACCGCAGGTGGCGAGCTGGGGCTGGGTGTTAACTCCGCCGTCGCTCCGGGGACGTCGTGCAGGGTTTCAGAAGAGGACGTAGGGGTCAGCCCGGCCCGCTTCCAGCCCCGCCGTCAGGCTCCCCGAGAGGATGCTTAGCGTTGAGCCTCCTTACGAGACTCGCCTCTCACCAGGGAGCCAGCGTCAGAACTCGTGTGTGGGCGACCCCGCCCCGTCCCACGTCCTCTGCCTTCTAGAGTGCAGTCACCCTTGTTGGCTCCGTGAAGGGGACCGGAGAGCCTCCAGTCTGCCTCCAGCTGCGTTTTACGAGTCGTCTGGGGACTCGGTTTCGGGAAGTTGGGCCGCTGTGTAGTCAGAGGGCTTCCTGCTGCCTTGGGCGCGTGTCCTTCCAGGTGGGCGGGGTGGGCGGGTTGGGCGGCTGGACGTCCTCGGTGTCTGCGGAGGGTAGGGCTAGGCTTCCAACTCCACAAACTCTGGGGGCAAAAATCACCCCAAAAGGAAGAAACCAGCTCAGCTCTTACACCAGCCTCTTGCGTTGTAGGCATTTCTCCACTCTCAGAGGAGAAAATCAGGTTTTGGGTGCTTTGCGCTTTCCTGTTACGTGGTAAATAACCAGCGATGTTTGGTTCCTGCTTCGCCGGGTGTATGTATTCAGGATGAAAGGA